GTTTATTCCCGTGTTTTTATTACCATTTGTATAAACATCTCAGTCTAGAGACTGACAGTGATTTGATGATCAAATAGATTATTTACTCTCCTCAAAACATCTTCAAAATTAGGTTATAAAAACATAAGAAGAGGCTGCTTTCTCTGCATACACACGCCACTCACCAACCACATAAGGAGGGATTCGTATACGATTTCTGCTATTTCGTATGCTATTATAATATAATCGAGTTCCGGGCCTTTTCAAGGCGAGAGTGAATAGGCACTTACAGGGCAGATATGTACCATCCTAGACTACATCCCACTTAACATCAGGTGCGATTGTGGTCAAATAGGTACCTGCCTTGTTATGCATAAAAAAAATTACAATTCGAAAATACGTCCACTGAGCTCAACACTCAACTAATCTTTTGAATTGTAAAAACTGCGTTTATCATCGCTCAATCTTTCCACAGGACTTGCATGTATTGCATAAAACATACGAATAGTAATGCGTTTTTTCCTTGGATGACGTATAGAATAATAAATAAAAGACTTATTGCTTTCATTTATTCAAAAAACCAACAGAAGACTAGAACATTTATCTGACTTTATCTCTCTCGTAGTTTCGGTGGATGTGCACGTGCAAGACGCAGTAATAACGTAAATAATGTAAATATGCGACGAGCAACATTTACTTACATAATTTCGAAATAATTGGACATGGCGCTTTAAGCTTGACATAACGAAAGCTTCTGCTAAAAGCACAGACGCTTTTACCAACTTCGTAGATAGGCTATAAAGTCTTCCTAAATTGCAGCTATCCCTCAAAGATGAAGTAAAACAAACAACACATAATGTTGTAAAAAATACGAGCTCTACGAAATGCTTAGGTACTCCATATCCGCGAAAGTGTGCCCTTGACCGTAATGTTAAAGTTAACATTACTGTCGACTCAGCGGCGGCGGATGAGCGATGTTTATAAATGTTGGCTGAGTATCTCACACAGTGCTCTCGATTCTAATATCCATTTATAGTAGATACATAATATTTAGTAAACCAAGGGGCTGCACAAATGTAGACTTGTTGTTAGACACAGCAAACCGAGTCGTTTTATGGTCTCAAGTGGAAGCAACTGAACACAAATAGTGTCTACCTCTGTGCAGGGAGTGGCTGAAATCAAATAACAATAAAATATTCATTGGTGGTTTGCCGCCGCAGCGCAGGCCAACCACGCGATGTGGAAGTCATTGAGGAAGGCCTATGTTCAGCTGTGGACGTCCTGTGGCTGAAATGATGGTGGTGGTGGTTTGTTTGTATATGTCACAAGACACAAATCTCTACATTTGCGTCATAATGATCTAATAATTCTGCTCTATGACCGTTAAAGTGTGAGTTACGAATGATAGATGACCGTTCTGGAGGAAACGTCATATTACCGTCGCGCGCGCTCAAGGCTGAAGATATAATGACTCAAGGCATAGGACCAGTCATCGTCATCTAAGGAACACCAAATAGTACGATCTCTCGATATTATCATCCAGTTACTTCCTGATAACTTAGGAGGCCATCTGCCCTTCTAGGAAAGATAATTACTTCTGGCCCTACCGTCACTTTTGAAGGTTGGTCTTTCATTATTGCTTGGCAGTCAATGTATCTTGGATATTACAAGAGTAGCAGTCGTGGAAAACGTGATGTGGGATTAGTCCCTTGTACAGTCGACAGCACACCAGAATATACATTTTCGTTGCAAAGTCGCCCCTATCGCAACTACGTAAGATACCACAGTGTTTACATTGACGTGCTGTATGTCACTGTACATTATTTTTTAGATCTTTCATCATTCAAAAGGCAGTAGCCTGCCTATCCCTTTTCATTTTCATCACATCTCCGACAGTCATTTTCGCTTGAATTTTAATCAAAGTTACGTAAAAACAAAACAAATCCAGCAACAAAACAACTTAAACAGAATAAGTTAATACTAAATTGGGTAGATTTGGCATTCTGTAAACATAAATATTTTATTACCTAAACTTGAAACACTTCACAGCTGTTTTATGGATCACAAGGCGCGGGTATACATATTAATGAAATAAGGTGTCCCTTTACTTTACTATCTACTTTAGATCCTCGAACTTGTTAAAATGTGGCATTAGGCTGAGTTATATCGTTCCCCCTTGAGATGACAAGTACACATGACAAACAAATGCGAAAGTACGGACGATGGTACAGTCAGCGTCAAAAAGTTCGTGACACCCAAAGTAGCCAATAATTTCGCAACACGTCTTTTTTGCTATTGGAATAAAGTTGTGTTGCGAAATGTGAACTATTTGACGCAAACTTTAAGTACGTCAAGTTAAAAAATATATGCTGTACATGTACATCTTATGTGTGTCTACTGCTTAAGTTTTAGTAGGTGATACTTTTTAATAATAAAAACTTACTGATATAAAATGAAAAAAATAAAAGATATTTTACTGTCAAGCCATTTTTACCTTCTTATCTTGGTGTTAGAATTTTGGGACCTTTTCTTTTGTATATGACCTGTTTCTTTATAACGTTTGCTTTAATTATGTGTAGGTATTATTTACTAGTCGCCCTAAAGTCTGGGACTACTACTTGACCTTCATCAAAGATTTACAGCATTTAATTTCATTCGATATTGCACTGTAATTACACCGTGTCCAAGTGACAAGCCTCATGCTACGTGTACCTGACCTGACCTAGTCCTCGAGAAACCTTGGCATTTATTGACAGTTGACACTCTGTGGGAAGGTGACGAGCAACTTTCTTTGTCATGGCAAATGTCTTGTTACCATGTCGTGACATGCTTGGCTAGTACAAAGAGATTATCGGATACATTCTAAGTCTGCTATTTTGTTGGACACACGTAATTTCCAAATTGGTTGGTTATCTTCTCAAAGATTTACAGCTGTTAATTTTTTTTTTATCCACAACGAGGAAGCTCTTGGCCTATATCTCACCTGATGGTAAGTGATGATCAGGCTGAAAGTGGAAGCGAGCTTCACCCGGAATCCTCAACCACAGAGGAACTGGCTATCTTACCTCTAACTACCGGAAAACAACAATGCTGTTAACATTGTTGTTATGGCGACAGACTTAGGTAAGATGGTGGTAGCTAGCCAGGCGGACTTAGAACAAGCCCTACTACCAATCAAAACGTACGGAAAAATCTGCCCCCACTGGGAATCGAACCCCCTCTGCGTCTGAAGCAGGTGGTCTTACCACTAAACCACAGAGGCGGTAATTTCACTCGATATTGCACTGTAATTACACCGTGTCCAAGTGACAAGCCCTCGTGGCACGTGTACCTGACCTAGTCCTCGAGAAACCTTGGCATTTATTGACACTCCGTGTAGGGTTGCCAGGCGTCCGGCTTTTTACGGTCTTGTCCGGCCTGTCCGGCTTTTGTTAGGCTTTTTATTTGGCCTGCCGCGCCAGGCGAAAGTCGAGCCACAGAATAATATAAAGCGCACGCATCAGGATTTGGGCAACTGATGATACGATGACATGTCCGGCTTTTAGGGTAAAATGTCCGGCCAAATGAAGCACAGAGTCCGGCTTTTGTGTTTTTGGACCTGGCAACCCTACTCCGTGGGAAGGTGACGAGCAACTTTCTTTGTCATGGCAAATGTCTTGTTCCCATGTCGTGACATGCTTTGTAAAAGTAACTACAAAGAAATTATCGGATGCGTTGTTAGTTCGTAATTTTGTTAGACTCGCGTTAATTTCCTTATTCATTGGTTATCTTCAAACTTTGCCAGCATAGTAGCATACAGGGTGGAAATGATAAGTGACCTCACTCGATTATTTCTAAACTATACAAAAAACTCGTTACTGATCCTGAAACTGCTTCATGAGCTCTATCAAACGGTATCAATAATAGGTTACAGAATAAACTGGACATAATATTAAAAACTACACAAGATATCGTAAAACTGGTTACTGATCCTAAAAATGCTTCACGACTTAAAAGCTGAAAAATGGTGATAATTTTATAGAAATCATATGCCTACAATGAATTGCCTAACAATAACAAACCTTAACTCTGATTACCTTATTTGACCTTGAGGTATTTAATAAACTACTTAAATACTTCAATAACGTCCCCAACACTGACGTGTACTAAACAATACAACCCCCATAGTAACAGCTGCGTGTTAAAACGTATTTCTCATAGTAAAACTACTCATTACCTTGGTTAAGTTTAAATTTGAAATGTGTACGCCCAGAAGGCGTATTTTCGAAGCTTTCAAATGATGAAGTGAATAATTATATTATGAAACTATGATTGATGCAAAGTGAGGAAAGTGCAATGCATTTCCCAGAAGTGTAACCGAAGCAATTCTTTTTGTTATAGTGTTTTTATCTGAAAATAAATCAATTATGCATGCAATTCAATTGGTTAAAAAACTGTTCGTGACTGTTACTAATATTCAATAGTGGCGGAGTTATTTCTAAGTTAATTAAGCACGTTTAGCTATGCAAGAAAATTACTCTTGTAATTCATCAGTCGCTTTATCTATCTTTATGTAATGTTGTACGACGGATGGAATATTTAAAATATCCTTTTTTTCTGACTTGATCCAAATATGATAAAATGATAGTATTCTTGAACCAAATTCGTTTAACAAATCACATTGTAGAAATCCTCTTAATTTGGAGCTGAAAAACTATGAACAAATGGCATTCTCAACTAATCTGGCCCAAATTCTTCATTTAACTCTGAACTTTACCACTAAAAACATCGATCTATCTCTCTCTATCTATGGCCTCCTCTTCAACCCTCCACCGACTTCTGTCCCTGGCCAAACGCATCCAGTTCACTCCAGCCTGCTTCTAGATGTCGTCTGTCCACCGACTAAAGACATAGGACCCCAAAATCCATGATTAAACATTTTACCAACCAAGTGACAGAATTCCTTAAATAACTCTGAACCTTACCATTCAAGACATACACTTCTAAATCCACTATCTAAACATAAGCATCTGTTGTTGCAGCGCCAGCCGCAACTGCCCGGCCGAGGGCGCGCCCGAGCAGGACGCGGCGCAGCCCACGGTCGACCTGCCGCGCACCAGGGACGGAGAGATCGACTATGACGGTGGGTACCTATAACAATAAATATAATAATCATTTCACCAACATCTAAAGAAGCTCTCTCTAAAGCCTGGTCCGTGAGCACGTAGAATCCCGTCCAATGACCCCAAGCTGCCCATCCTTGTCGCTCGCACGTAATTACGTCGCACAGTCGCGACAGCAATATAATTACGCGCGAGCGATAAGGATGGGTAGCTTGGGGTCATTGGACGGGATTCTACGTGCTCACGGACCAGGCTTTAGATGGTTGGCTCAAGTGTCAGATACAAAAGGCGGTGATCCTCAACACGGCACGCATTGTCCGGAGGTTCCTCAGCCCGTGACGCTGACCACCGGTAGCTTAGCCCTGCCCCGCTGCCAGCGGATGAACTAGTTTTTTAAAGTTTTTTATGTTGTCTTCTTTATTTTATTTTGTATATTAAAAATGGCGTTGTAGAAAATTTTATAAAATTAAGTTTTAAATTGAAATAAATGGTATAATAATTTTATTTATTCAGATTTCTAGATCCATTTATGTTAGTAACAATGTTCGTACATCTAATGTTAGTATAGTTTGTGCAACTCACGAAGGCGAAGTGAGCTTTACTTGTGTGTGTACGTGTACAATGTACATGCCTGATGCACCAGGGACCGAGAGATCGACTATGACGGTGGGTACCTATTTCCCACCTCTAGGGCCCATCGCTGCCACTCCTGTGAAGGATCTACAGCTTGACCGCCAGTAAAACCCCTACCAGTTAAGCATTAATTTGTCACACTGGATGAGTGCTGTAGTCCTGGCCGACTCGTGATCCGAGGAACGAGGGTTCGATCCTCGCCGCCGCTCGACTATTGTGGTAAACCGTTACACCAGCATATTTAGCTTACCACGAGCGGTTAACGGGAACGGGGCTTAAAATAAACTAGCATGCAAAATTGACGGCCGATGGTGCAGAAAAGTTCAAGCAAGCTCAGCTTGAGACGGCCCTCATAAGGTAGACAGATGTCCTCAAAGGTTGCAGGAAGGCGCTGAGTACAGGCAGCTGCCAACCGGCTTTTTAAAAAGCGCTTTACACGTACACAGTGGGATATGTAAATGCGCTTTAAAAAACCTTAAAAACCCAACACTGCTTCGGGATAAAAACTTAATCATCATCATTTCAGCCATAGGACGTCTACTGCTAAACATAGGCCTCCCCCAATGATTTCCACAAAGGCCGGTTGGTAGCACTTACTCCTTTTAAATACACGCATTCACTTACAATATTCACGCACAATAACGAGTTACGACAGGTTATTTTAACGTTGAACCGTGAAATATCAAATAGTTCACGTATTCCTATCCCATCTGTCCCTATTTGTCACAGCAACGTCACCTCAAAACCAATTGCTCTCAAAACAATACGTTCAGGTGACATCCGAATTCCTGTCACGTCCCTTCAAATATCCCCGTGAACAGGGTTGCCACCTGTCCGAGTTACCCCGAATTTGTCTTAGTAGAGAAAGACGTCCTCAGGGGTTTAAGTCTTAAGCCGATGCTGGGCGACCCCCCAGTTTAAAAAAACTTTGACGTAGGGGCGCTGTACAAGCTGTCATATTTTTATGAATTTATTTCATTTTTTTTATTTTGTACGCGGTCAAATCAAATCAAATAGTTTATTTATTCAGTACATAGGCCCTTTCCAGGGCGTTTTCCTATACACGTCCCAAGCGCCCTGCCACCACTCGTGGTAAGCACATTGGGCTCCAAATGCGGGGTTTTCGTGCGTCTTGTCCTGGTTTCCAAAATTTTGCGATGACAACCCTACTTGTGAGCGTGAGTCACGCTGTCATCGCCCGCGCGTTTGCATACAATGCCTTTGGATAAGTGAATAGGTGTCATTTTTCGGGTTTAAACGTGACAGAAAAGGGCTTGGAGATATTGAAAAAGTCGTGGAATTAGATAATAATAATAATTATCGTTGGAAACAAAGGTCAATGCTATTGCTCAACTAGCCAATCGATGCGTCCTTTCATAAAACATTGAATTTGACGTCTACCTACAGGGTGTTAGGTAAATGGGTATATGAGCCGACACTAGCCCATGTTAACATGAGCATATAAATGGTATGGTGAAGTCAGAAAATTGATATCTTCATTTTAATTATTGTAATTTTCATACAAATCGGATTTTATGAAATTTATTTAGTATGAAAATTTAAAAAATTAAAATAATGATATCAAATTTCTGACTTCACCATACCATTTATATGCTCATGTTAACATGGGCTAGTGTCGGCTCATATACCCATTTACCTAACACCCTGTATATTGAAACTTACACGATTAATGTATATTCGATTGCAAATTACAATTCAATTGTTTCAAAATACGCCTCTAGATCGAGACAGATATGTCTACCCTTATGGCAACCCATTTAGACCCGTATAAAATTAATTTCACACTTAAAAATTAATTCAGGCCTTGGATTGATCTGAATATTTAAGTGAATCCAGCCACAGTTTAGTCTAGTCTCTGTTCTGTTCTGTGTCTAATTTTGAGCTCCGTTTCAGTAGAGTCACGCCCGTATTCACAAACATTACTATGAGGTCTCACAATGCGCGTGGACGCACAGGGTGACACACGAACCGATCCCAAAGCTCTATTCAACGTTGTGTGTTCGATTTGTAGCTTCACTTAAGCAAGCATCGTTTGTGAATACGGGCGTTAGAAGCTTGGCTAAGTTAGGTTCTCTTTGGAAACATTTTACATGAACATGTTTTTGTTGGGATTTATATTTGACAGTATTGTATCGAAAGAAAATTTCTAATGATAACGTTTGATTTCAGCGTTATACGAAGATGAATCAGACAGCGACCTCGGCTCCATGGAGAACCACGGCTCCGTGGTCACCCACCTCTTATCACAAGTCAAGATTGGAATGGATCTCACTAAGGTTAGTAATATGATTCAGTTGCACAGACCGACAATATACAGGGTGTCGCTTTAAGTACGGACCACACAAAAAGGATTGATTCTACTGCTGGACACAATACAGGAAAAACATCAAAATTCTTTTAAAAAAAGGTATTTTTTAGATTTATACTTCCTTCCCTTAGAAAAAATTTTACATTTCATCAATAAAAACAATCCGTTTTGTTTGATCAAGTATCAAAACAACAGCCTGTATAAGACAGCAATCTTTTGTTGCAAAATCACCCCTGTTTTTAGATACCAGTGTTTAACTTTATTTGCCGTTGTCTGTTCCATTCACTTCACAATTTTGAATAAAAAACAGAACTGAACCTTTGAATCAATAATATGACATTTGGCATCCGAAACATTTGCCTGTTTTGTTTTTTTTTTCCATTAGTCCACTGCTGGCTATAGTTTTACCGGCAGCACATCTACCAACTCTACTCACTCTCGACGCCCGCGTGGAATTTTGTCTGTCACAGAAAAACTATCGCACGCGTCCCTGTTTCAAAAACCGGAATAAAAACTATCCTGTTTCCCGGGACTCAAACTATCTCCCTGCCAAACATCAAAATCGGTTCAGTGGTTTAGGCGTGAAAGTGAGACAGACAGACAGAGTTACTTTCGCATTTATAATATTAGTATAGGTACACATTTACACAAGCTTTAAAATCCATTGTATATAAGGTAGAAGTTAGCCAGCTCACTACCCTGTTCCAATCGCCTAGCTGCCAACAACTTTGTGTATATCGCTCCATTTTGCTAGAGATACCGATCGCTGCGGTTGCCAAATCACTGCAAAGCTCAGTAAACTTTAGCCATAACTGAGCTTAATACTTCAAACGCTCTTCATAACCTGTAAAAAACATCATCGTATCGTTACAGACATTTTGAAAACATTAGAACATACTGCTTTATCTTAAATTAAAATTCAAATTATTCATTTGCATAAAACATGGTACATTTCAGTTATTATATCTTGCTAACACTAAAGCTGGATCTTATTTTAAGGCTGGGTTGCACTATCTTACTTTAACTTTAACAAACCTCGAAAATCTGTCAAACTTAATACAAAAAACACAGGTTAATGATATACAGTCGTGGTCAACTAATTAGGGACGCTATATCACTAAAACACATGACCATCTCTTCAGTCCGAAAAAAAAATCTCCACGAGGCTTTGAAGCTTGTACCAATTAATAACAAGTAATTTGGCTAGTATTCTAAATATTTGAAGGCCAGGAAAGAAAATAGCTAGTTGTGATCTATATTTTTAAAATAAATAAATCATTGCCACCTACACATTTATTGACCTAGGGATGGACAACTAATTAGGGACACGTAACACTTTAACTGTAAATATAAATAAACTGGTAATTATTTAAGTGTTTATTACATAAAAAGTCTACATTAATAAAAATAGAATACAAAACAAATCATTAAACGTATTTTTAATAACCAGTATGGTTGCCTTTATTGGTTAAAACCATTTGACATCGGCGCGGCATCGATGCAATCAAATTATTACAAGTCTCTAAAGAAATATTATTCCAAACACCTTGAAACGTCTCGTAAAGCTGATTTTTAGTGCCAGTACGTTGAGCTGCAACTTTTTTCTTCGCCTCATACCATAAGTGCTCGATCGGGTTTAAATCTGGGCTGTTTGCGGGCCAATCCAGTACCGTCACTGACTGTTGCGCTAGGAACGATTTGACAGAGTGCGCGGTATGTTTTGGGTCGTTATCGTGTTGAAACGTCCATGACACAGGTAAGACTTCTTCAGCATACGATAGCATCGTCTCTTCCAGTATTCTTTTGTATTGGAATTGATCAAGTTTACCTTCAATTCTTTTTATAGGTCCTATCCCATGTCCAGAAAAACAGCCCCAGATTTGAATATTGCCGCCTCCATGTTTCACCTGCTTCTTCGTGTATTTTGGATTCATTTCGGACTTTACAGGTCGTCGCACGTATTGTCTACCATCGGATGAAATAAGATTTATCTTGGTCTCGTCAGAAAACAGCACATTTCTCCATTGAGCAACAGTCCAATGTCCATATTTTCTTGCAAACGCCAACCTTGCTTGTTTGTGTTCCTTCTTTAGTAATGGAACTTTTCGAGCAACTCTTCCTACTAGCTTTGCCTCCACCAGTCGCCTTCTGACGGTCCTCGCTGATACTCCAGCAGTCGGTTCTGGTCCAAAAACCTCGCTCTTGATCAGAACGGAACCCTTAAAGGGGTCTCTCTTCGCGAGAGTGACTATTCTGCGATCGTCTTGTGGAGTTGTTTTTCTAGGCCTCCTCCTTCTAGGCACACTTTCTGTTGTTTCATGAATTTTGAAATAAGCCACTGCATTGTAGATCATGTTTTTGGAACATTTCAGATGATCTGCAATTTTCCGGTATGGCCATCCACGCTGATAAAGATTAATTATGACTTTTCGCATTGTTGCGTCACAGCTTTTCTTTCGACCCATTATCTTTAGTTTATTTATGCGTTTTTAACTCGCACGATAAAAATGTCGCTTTTCAAATTGGCGCCGAAATTACAAATGAACAGAATAAAAATTATTACTTTTAAATTTTTTGAATTTAGAAGGAAAAACTTCAGCGTCCCTAATTAGGTGGCCAGTTCGTCTGTACCATAAATATTGATTCATGTGATTTGAGTAAGATTTTTTATTAGGATAGTAAGTTTTTTTTCTTCTTATTGTATTCTTATAACTAGAGTACATGATAGTTAATAAGTTTACAAAGTAACAGTCAGTAATTACGAATGAAGCTCACAATAATTAGATATGAACATTCAATATTGCTTAGTATTCTGTCTGTCCCTAATTAGTTGACCACGACTGTATTTATGGTTAAAATTAGGTAGTGCAACTCAGCCTAAAAGTTAGTTGAAATATCACGGCCAGTGTTGAACAATAACAATGTATTTCAATTATTTTCTTATCAGATTGATTCATTATTTTACTTATAACAACTAGTAGCATAGATAGTAAACCGTATTGCATGTTATTAAAAGTCAAAATGTAAATAATACATATTTATTTTCAACCGACTTCAAAAAAAGGAGGAGGTTTTCAATTAGACCCGTATGTTTTTTTTTTCTATGTTTGTTACGCGATAACTCCGCCAATTATGAACCGATTTGAACAAATCTTTTTTCGGCGTATAGGTAATACCTCAAAGGTGGTCCCATTTAAATGTAATAATAAAAAAAACAACCCCCAAGGATGGAAAATTGGGGATGAACTTTTTTATACGCAATATCTCCGCCGATTATAAACCAATTTGAACGATTATTTTTTTGTTGAATAGGTATTATCAAAAGGGTGGTTTCATGCGAATTTGAAGAAAATATTTAACCCCCAAGGGTGGAAAATTGGGGATGAACTTTTTTATACGCAATATCTCCGCCGATTATGAACCAATTTGAACGATTATTTTTTTGTTGAATAGGTATTATTTGTGTTCACGCATTTGAAGTCAGTTTTTTTTTTTAACGTTGTTAATTATAGTTACATTCAGTTAAAAATCTAATATGACATGATTCATAAAATTTAGCATTTAGAAACATTGAACTTTCCATGATTGTGAGGAATGGCCTGATATTTCATTATATTTTGATGTCAAAATGGTTTTTCGCGGCGATAACATAATTAAATTTCGCCTGTCAGAAAATAACAATACAAAGCGGTTTCAAAAACACGCTATCTGTGACTGTGACGTAGGCCGACACTTTGCTTGGACCCTTTTGTTCATTTCTCCTTTCATTCGTTCCATAAAATGCCTAGAGTTCTATTTTAAAAAGAATTAAGTTCATTCAATCGTCCTCTATAAGGCCCGGTTTTCACCAAGGCAGAGCATAGTGGAGAAATATTTGATATAGAATATAATTACGCGCGAGCGATAAGGATGGGTAGCTTGGGGTCATTGGAAGATATTATATGTGCTCGGCGACCGGGCTTTACTAATATTTATTTCGTGAAAAGTTTTATTTATAGTGTATTGTTTGTTTACAGGTTGTGCTACCGACGTTCATACTTGAGAGGCGATCGCTTCTGGAGATGTACGCGGACTCATTCGCACACCCCGACCAGTTTGTTAAGTAAGTATTTCACTGCTAAAAATCTGAGCTTGATGGTCAATACAAGTCATTTATTGTTTCTATTACAGAGGTCGCTTCATAGCTATAGACCGCCTAAATCAGCCTTTCCCAAAGTGGGCGATAACGCCCCCTTGTGGACACTGCAGGCTTAAAAGGGAGTTGTACTTGTAAGAGACTCAAAAAACATATCAGTGACCTTATTCACGTATTTTGACACAGTTTAAATCTCGCTGACGTTCAGATGTCCTCCCATTGAAAAACAGTTCTAAATCCATATTAACAAGTGTCATCTCGATAGAACGATTACTCGATAGGATCGCAACTCAGCGTTTTGTTGTCGTTTAAGTTATGTTACGTGAATAAGGCTACAGGGCGTTGTGTATAGGCTTGGGAGGCGCGATTTGTAATTTCATCTACTAAGAGGCCTCTTCACCGACTGAGCTCTCGACTCTCAACTACAAATGGGGGCGCTAAAAAATAAATAATTATTCTCGAAGTTGCTCACCTTGTAGATCAAATAAGGGAAATTCCTTCTCTTTTCTTACCTTCTATTTTGTGTGGTGTACCATAAAATTTATTATTATTACAGGATAGTAGACCAGCCGACGCCGCGCGACCGAATGATCCAAGTGGTCCGGTGGTACCTGAGCTCGTACCACGCGGGCCGCAAGTCGCAGGTGGCCAAGAAGCCCTACAACCCCATACTGGGGGAGGTGTTCCGCTGCCACTGGGAGCTGGACGGGGCCGACACACACTCCAACGCTGCGGAGAAGGTAATTCGTTCGTCCGTTTCAGCCAAATGACGTCCACTGCTGCACAAAGGCCTCCTCCAAGGTTTTCCACAATGCACGGTCCTGCGCTGCCCGCATCCAGTTTCTTCCCGCGACCGTATAGTAGACCAGCTGTATCGTATAGTCATCATCATCATCATTTCAGCTACAGGACGTCCACAGCTGAACATTGCGGTCGGCAATGACTTCCACATCGCACGGTTGGTAGCGGCCTGCATCCAGCGCCTTGCTGCTACCTTTATCAAGTCGTCGGTCCATATAGCAGTGAAGCTGAAATGGCAATGGGCAGGGCACATAGTACGCAGATCTGACAGCCGATGGGGCAGCAAGGTTCTGGAGGTGTCTTACTGGAAAACGCAGCATGGGAAGTCCACCATTAAGGTGTACCGACGACCTCATAAAGGTAGCAGGAAGGCACTGTATGCTTCCCCAAACTATCTATGTTAAAATCTACGCAACGACCCAGCAACTTACTGAAAAGTCAATTTCTATAGCATTTTCGCTTTTCTCACTCCCAATTTCAATAGACATATCAAGGGATACAAAAGATGAATATGTTTTACTCGTGGGCAATTTATAATTATTTTCACAATAAGTTTTTTACACATTGTTAATTTTATCCTAAATTCCAGATCAAACTCGCACACTCGCTGCGGCCGCCCGTCGCACAGTCGTGACAGCAATATAATTACGCGCGAGCGATAAGGATGGGTAGCTTGGGGTCATTGGACGAAATTCTACGTGCTCGGCGACCAGACTTTAGATTAAAAACGATCTTCATTAGATCTTATCTAAAACCGTTATTGTTTACCAACAGGAAGTAGGAGACGGCCCAGTCCCCTGGTGCACAGCAGACCAGCTCTCCTTCGTGGCGGAACAAGTCTCCCACCACCCGCCGATTTCTGCCTTCTACGCGGAACACGTGAACAAACGCATTCAATTCGAGGCCTGGGTGTGGACTAAGAGCAAGTTCCTGGGACTGTCCATAGGCGTGCACAATATTGGGAAGGGGACTGTTACATTGCTGGACACTGGCGAGGAGTATACACTCACATTCCCCAATGGATACGGCAGGTTAGTTAAGCCATTTACTTACTGCAAACCATATCTGCCTTCTACGCGGAACAAATAAACGCATACAATTCGAGGCCTGGGTGTGGACTAGAGCAAGTTCCTGGGCCTGTCCATAGGCGTCCACAATATAGGGAAGGGGACTGTGACGCTATTGGACACTGGAGAGGAGTATACACTCACATTCCCCAATAGATACGGCAGGTTAGTTAAGTAATTTATTTCTGCAAACCATATCTGCCTTCTGCGCGGAACAAATAAACGCATTCAGTTCGAAGCCTGGGTGTGGACTAAAAGCAAGTTCCTGGGACTGTCCATAGGCGTCCACAATATTGGGAAGGGGACTGTTACATTGCTGGACACTGGCGAGGAGTATACACTCACATTCCCCAATGGATACGGCAGGTTAGTTAAGCCATTTACTTACTGCAAACCATATCTGCCTTCTACGCGGAACAAATAAACGCATACAATTCGAGGCCTGGGTGTGGACTAGAGCAAGTTCCTGGGACTGTCCATAGGCGTCCACAATATAGGGAAGAGGACTGTGACGCTATTGGACACTGGAGAGGAGTATACACTCACATTCCCAAATGGATACGGCAGGTTAGTTTAGTAATTTATTTCTGCAAACCATATCTGCCTTCTACGCGGAACAAATAAACGCATAAAGTTCGAGGGGTGTGTACTAAGAAGAAGTTCCTGGAACTGTCCATAGTGTATAGCGTCCACGTGTTTTGAGAGCATTTTTACAATAAAATTTCAAAAAATATTTTTTTAATAAAGCTTACGAAAATTGTGGTCGATAAACGAATAGTTAAATCTTAATGAATTCAACAAAACTTTATCTTTTACTTGGGAATTTTGTTTACGTGATTTAAAGTTTTAGGCCCGCTGCACAACACATACTAAGACAAAATATGTATGTAAACCTCTTTACTTGCACTTGTGTCTGTCTTGTCGGTTGTCCTAAATAAATAAATAAACGTCTTGTCTGTTAGGTACCTGTATTTAGAACTATTTGACTCATAAAAATCGTTTTTCCAGATCAATACTGACCGTGCCATGGATCGAGTTAGGCGGCTCAGTCGTCATCGAGTGCGTGCAAACCGGTCATAAGGCCAACATAGAGTTCTTGACGAAGCCTTTCTACGGCGGGAAGAAGCACCGCGTGACGTGTGAAGTCTTCGCTGGTCCGGATAAGAAGCCCTATTATACTGCGCAGGGCGAGTGGAATACCAGGATGGACGGGAGATGGACTGACTCGGGGGTAGGTCACAGTTTTGTTTGGTGATAACTTACTTTTAGCGACTTTTATGCCCATTTTCACCATCAATCCTTATTTTTTAAGTGACCCCTATGAAAACAAAAGTCCCGATAAGTGTTACCATAGGGGTCACTTAAAAATTAGGGATTGATGGTGAAAACGGGCATTAGCCACCCATTTTTCCCGTGGATGTCACCAGGCCTGTCAAAGTTCTATTAAAGTGCGCAGGAGGAGTGGAATACCAGAATAGACGGACTCGAGGGTAGGTGATCATTTTGTACCATAATAACTTGTCTACTTGACCGTGCCATGGATCGAATTAGGCGGCTCAATCGTCATCGAGTGCGTTCAAACCGGCCATAAAAGCCAACATCGAGTTCCTGACGAAGCCCTTCTACGGCGGCAAAAAGCACCGCGTGACGTGTGAAGTTTTCGCTGGTCCGGATAAGAAGCCCTATTATACAGCGCAGGGCGAGTGGAATACTAGGATGGATGGGAGATGGACTGATTCGGGGGTAGGTCACAGTTTTGTTTGGTGGTAACTTACTTTTAGCGACTTTTATGCCCATTTTCACCATCAATCCCTATTTTTTAAGTGGCCCGTATGAAAACAAAATTCCCGATAAGTGTTACCATAGGGGTCACTTAAAAATTAGGGATTGATAGTGAAAACGGGCATTAGCCACCCATATTTCCCGTGGATGTCACCAGGCCTGTCAAAGTTCTATTAAAGTGCGCAGGGCGAGTGGAATACCAGGATGGACGGACTCGAGGGTAGGTGGACATTTTGTACGGTAATAATTTGTCCATGTATAATGGCCTGGCCAATACAAGTTCCTGACGAAGCCTTTCTACAGCGGGAAGAAGCACCGCGTGACGTGCGAGGTGTTCGCTGGTCCGGACAAGAAGCCCTATTATACTGCGCAGGGCGAGTGGAATACCAGGATGGACGGGAGATGGACGGAATCTGGGGTAGGTTAGGTTAGGATTTATATTATAAGCTATAGTGACGTGTCATTCCGGCAGAGTGTAATAGAACCACCCATTCTTCTTGTGGATGTCACCAGGCCTGTCAAAGTTCTAATACAGGGCGCAGGGCGAGTGGAATACCAGGATAAACGGACTCGGGAGTAGGTGGATATATTCTTTAAGTGTCTTAGCAGTCTTCTTCTTCTTCTTCTTCTTTTCTTGTCGACAACAAACCTACACAGTGTCAGCCCAAAACTCCGCCACAAGAGTGAGGTCTTAGCAGTGTAGTTCCAGCAGAGTAGATGGGACACCCCATCCTTTTAAAGTTTGATAAAAAGCCTTACTTTAACACGTAGGGCGATTTGAATACTAGAATGGACGGCAGATGGATGGAATCGGGGGTAGATTGATAAATTCTATAGGTGACTTAGCTATGTGGTTCCAGCAGAGTAGATGATACTACTTCCACCCTTTTGAAGCTTGATAAGAAGCCGCGCAAGGCGAGTGGTAAACTAGGATGGACGGACTTGGGGGTAGGTGGATATACCTATTTATATAACTATTGAGTAATAGATAGATGTAGAAGTTTCAGTGGAGTAGAAGGGACCACCCTCACCCTTTCTGTGGATATCACTAGGCCTAACAAGGAGCCCTATTACGCAGGGCTAGTGGACTACTAGGGTGGACGGCAAACGGGTGGAGTCTGGGGTAGTTTTGTTTGGTGATGACTTTTTGATCGTTGTTGTAAGCGTGCCTTCTTTTGAGCAAACCTTTAACGATCCATTTCTCCTTCCAGCGAACAGAAGTCCTCTTCGAGGTATCAAGCATGAAACCACGCCGCAAGCGAGTGGCGCCCGTCAGCCGACAACAGCCGCACGAGTCGCGCCGCGTGTGGCGCCACGTGACCTGCGCCCTGCGCGCCGCCGACACCGCCGCCGCCACCGACGCCAAGCGCCGTGTGGAGCAGGCGCAGCGAGACGCCGCCAAGCAACGCGACGCTGCTCACGATAAATGGGCCACTCAGGTTGGTGCCTATAGCCTCCAGCCGACACTGACTCTAGCTTCCCGCCGACGGCCGCCACGTCAAGTAGGCGGGCCACGCAAGTTGCTGCCATAGCCTCCAGTCTCCTGAGATGACACCGCCGCCGCCACCGACGCCAAGCGCCGCGTGGAGCAGGCGCAGCGAGACGCCGCCAAGCAACGGGATGCTGCGCACGATAAATGGGCCACACAGGTTGGTAGTGTTGGTACCTATAGCCTTCCGCCGACACCGCCGCCGCCGCCGACACTTAGTGCTGCATCGAACAGGCGCAATGCGACGCCGCCAAGCAACGCGTCGCCGCGCACGACAAGTGGGCCACCCAGGTTGGTGCCTCTAGTCTAGCTTATCGCCGACACCGACTCTAGCTTCCCGCCGACGTCGACGCCGACGCCGACACCGCCGCCGCCACCGACGCCAAGCGCCGCGTGGAGCAGGCGCAGCGAGACGCTGCGAAACAACGCGACGCTGCTCATGACAAGTGGGCCACGCAGGTTGGTACGGCTGCTAAAAGTCCGGTCGCTGAGCAGATAGAATTTCGTCCACTGACCCCAAGCTACCCATCTTTGTCACTCGCGCCTAATTATGTCGCTGTCGCGACTGTGCGACGGGCGGCCGCAGAGAGTGCAAGCGCGACAGCAATATAATTACACGCGAGCGATAAGGATGGATAGCTTGGGGTCAGTGGACGAAATTCTATCTGTTCGGCGAGCGGACTTTAGCTTCTATGTTCTTTTGATTCATTTCGTTGCGGGTCCAATGACAGTTTGACTTTCCCCTGGGACAAACTTGACCTTCACTGGTTGGGTTTTTATTGCCGGTCAAGCTGTAGATCCTGGCTACACAGCAGTTGCAGCGGTAGGTATATTCCTATAGCTCCCGCTGACACCGCCGCACGAGTCGCGCCGCGTGTGGCGCCACGTGACCTGCGCCCTGCGCGCCGCCGACACCGCCGCCGCCACCGACGCCAAGCGCCGCGTGGAGCAGGCGCAGCGAGACGCTGCGAAACAACGTGACGCTGCTCATGACAAGTGGGCGACCCAGGTTAGTATTACAACCTCTAGCCTCCCGAGTCGATACTGCCGCCGCAGCCGACGCCGACTCTAGCCGCCGACACCTATTGCTGCGTCGAACAGGCGCAATGCGACGCCGCCAAGAAACGCGACGCTGCTCATGACAAGTGGGCGACCCAGGTTGGTACTTATAGCCTTCTGCCGACGCTGCACACGACAAGTAGGCCACGCAGGCCCTTGTCACTGCCTCTAGCCTCCTGAGCCGACACCGTCTCTAGCCTCTCGCCGACAACGCTGCCGCCGACGCCGACCGCAGTAACGAGTAGCGCCGCAGTAGGCCACGCAGGCCCTTGTCACTGCCTCTAGTCTCCTGAGCCGACACCGCCGCCGCCACCGACGCCAAGCGCCGCGTGGAGCAGGCGCAGCGAGACGCCGCCAAGCAACGGGACGCTGCGCACGACAAGTGGGCCACGCAGGTTGGTGCTTATAGTCTTCTGCCGACGCTGCGCACGTCAAGTAGGCCACGTAGGTTGGTGTCTAGTCTAGTCTAACGCCGACACCGAGTCTAGCTTCCCGCCGACACCGCCGCCGCCACCGACGCCAAGCGCCGCGTGGAGCAGGCGCAGCGAGACGCTGCGAAACAACGCGAAGCTGCTCATGATAAGTGGGCGACACAGGTTGGTATCTATAGCCTTCCGCCGACATCGGCGCCGCCTAGCGCCGCGTCAAGTAGGCCACGTAGGTTGATGCCACAGCCTCCAGTCTCCTGAGATGACACCGCCGCCGCCACCGACGCCAAGCGCCGTGTGGAGCAGGCGCAGCGAGACGCCGCCAAGCAACGTGACGCTGCTCATGATAAGTGGGCGACCCAGGTTAGTATTACAACCTCTAGCCTCCCGAGACGACACCGTCGCCGCAGCCGACACCGACTCTAGCCGCCGACACATATTGCTGCGTCGAACAGGCGCAATGCAACGCCGCGCACGATAAGTGGGCGACCCAGGTTAGTACCTATTACTGCCTCAGCCAAAACTGTCTTTAGCCACACCGCACGAGTCGCGCCGCGTGTGGCGCCACGTGACCTGCGCCCTGCGCGCCGCCGACACCGCCGCCGCCACCGACGCCAAGCGCCGTGTGGAGCAGGCGCAGCGAGACGCCGCCAAGCAACGGGACGCTGCGCACGATAAAAGAAAAAACACAGGTTGGTAGTGTTGGTACCTATAGCCGCCGCAGCCGACACCGACTCTAGCCTCTCGCCGACACCGACAAGCCTCCCGCCGACTCCGCCGCCAAGCGCCGTGTGGAGCAGGCGCAGCGCGACGCCGCCAAGCAACGTGACGCTGCGCACGACAAGTGGGCGACCCAGGTTGGTAGTGTTGGTACCTATAGCCTTCCGCCGACACTGCCGACGACCGCCACGCTGCTATAGGCCACGCAGGCCGTTGTCACTGTCTCCAGTCTCCTGAGATGACACCGCCGCCGCCACCGACGCCAAGCGCCGCGTGGAGCAGGCGCAGCGAGACGCTGCCAAGCAACGTGACGCTGCTCACGATAAATGGGCCACACAGGTTGGTGCCGCAGAGGCAATATCGTAACCAATGAGGTTAATCCGAGGTGCGATTATTGCTAGTTGAAAACTTTACGACACCGTCGCTAGCCTCTCGCCGACAATGCTGCCGCCGACGCCGCGTCAAGTAGGCAGGCCACCAAGGTTGGTACCTATAGCCGCCGCAGCCGACACTGACTCTAGCCTCCCGCCGACATCACCGACGGCAGCGAGACGCCGCCAAGCAACGGGACGCAGCGCACGACAAGTGGGCCACGCAGGTTGGTACCTATAGCTGCCTCAGCCGAAACTGTCTTTAGCCTCACACCGACGACGACCGCCACGTCAAGTAGGCGGGCCACGCAAGTTGCTGCCATAGCCTCCAGTCTCCTGAGATGACACCGCCGCCGCCACCGACGCCAAGCGGCGTGTGGAGCAGGCGCAGCGAGACGCTGCGAAACAACGGGATGCGGCACACGACAAGTGGGCCACGCAGGTTGGTACGGCTGCTAAAAATCCGGTCGCTGAGCAGATAAAATTTCGTCCACTGACCCCAAGCTACCCATCCTTGTCACTCGCGCGTAATTATATCGCTGTCGCGACTGTGCGACAGGTGGCCGCAGTAAGAGTGCGAGCGCGACAGTAATTTAATTACACGCGAGCGATATGGATGGATAGCTTGGGGTCAGTGGACGAAATTCTATCTGTTCGGCGAGCGGACCGTTCATTGTGGAAAACCTTGGGGGAGGCCTTTGTCCAGCAGTGGACGTCATTTGGCTGAAACGAACGATAGCATATCAACGAAATATCATTTCCTCCACAGCTATTCAGCCCCAAAGGCGAAGACGGCTGGGAGTACAACGCGCCACTGCGAAAGCGAATCGACGAGCAGAAAACGCCACTACACACCGCCGCAAGCGCCGAAAGCACCAGATAATGCAAAGTGGGCTCTGAGACCACGCCGTAAGGTAGCAACTCCCGCGCAGGCCCCGTAGGCTAGCCGTTCGGCGTTAGACGCGTAGATTCGGATAGGAATGGTAAGTCTTTGCCATAATTTGTAAGGACTATCGCGTTGATGCCGGTGACACTTGATCGTGACTTCAATGACCCTCTTACTGGTATTTTTATTGGTTTTGAACCTTACGTTTCAACAATAAAGTTCAAAATATGGTTGCTAATGTTTAGCCGTTATCAGGTTTTCTATAAAAAAAACTTAGGAGACATGAACTTGAGAATAATTATAATTATTTTTATATCACCGAAAACAGATCATTATTACGTCACTCGGTCACTGCCTCCACTAACGTGCGTGGTTATGTCCGTAACTGTAGTACGATAATGTACGTCATTTACGTGCGTTTTTTTGGTATTTGGGATTTATGATCGCTTGATCTGTTTAACCCAGCTCACATATTCATTACTCGTACATTGAAAGATTTTATATCTTGTATTTGCTACAGTAAAACGATAATATTGTACCTGTTTTTACTTCAAATTCTCTTGTATTAATATCTTTATTGCTACGAATTTATTCCATGTTTGTATGAAATTTTCTTTGATTAATCGTATACTTCATACAGTCCTTACTTAACTGTGGTACCAGTCTCTTTTGATAATTAACAAATTTTTATGAGATTGGTGCATCAGAATAACCACCAAAATACATATACTTTTTTTAAAACTGTAAAAGTACATTATTACTTTGCGACTGTGTTTTATTACTCGTTTTCGTTTGGATGTATTTTTAAATACTGATTGAAATATAATCTTATTTTCACTTTCAAGTGTCAACCGGCGGAATGGAGCGCAACTTCTGTTTATTTTATATCTTTTTACAACTTACTATGGCCTATGATAGTCGAGCAATAAATAAATACTTGTAAATATTAGAACCTCTTTGACAATTCGTTACGCTTTGACTCGACCACGCTGAGCACATAATATAGGAATTGGTGTATTGGGAATAGGAACATAGCTATCTTAAAATGGTATAATGATTACTAAAATTTGACACAAAATACTATAAAAATTTCTCCCTATTTCACGAGACTTGGGAATGCTTTGTCTCGTTTCATCACAAGGGAAGTAATTAAGTGAAAAATAGAGATAGCAGTACCTTAGTTTTGTATGAATAAGAGGGTACAAAAGTCAGTCTACCTCATGGTTCATGTAACGGTCGCTACCAAAAGCGATGAGTGACTGCTTTACTTCTTGATCATAGAATCGCTATCGAAAATCAGGTAACCAAACTTTATTACGTTTTAGTGGTTTCTTTACCGATATATGCCCCACCTGAGAAACGTATTGAGAACATCCTGGCCATAAAACTAAAATAGTAAGACACTGGTCTTAACGCGACGTTTATTAATGAGTTAAATTATGTACTCACGGCTTGACGTTTCGGATGCGATGCTGCAGCCCAGAGGCGGGGCAAGACCTAAATTTGATGTGGGCAAGACAGATTTCGCGAGGCCTTGTTCTGTGGCGACCTGAAGACGGATTTATATACAGTGTGAGTCACGTTAAAGTGTACATATGAAAATAGATGAAACTAGACCTATTTTTATCGACAAAAAAGAGGTCAAAAAATTTTTGAGATTTTTTTTTAATTTTTTATAGAATTTTTTTTCTTCCAATTACTTGTTGTAAAAAAAACGTAATAACTTTTAAACTAAGAGGTATATCCTGATAAAATAAAAACAGTAATAATGCAAAATAAAAGGCGATAATAAAAAAATACATAAAATACACAAAAAAGGCCAATAAATAATAAAAAATGATACTTTTTGAAAAAAATCTGCTTTTAAATTCGTGTTTTTTTGGTTATTTGATAAATTTCTCCAAAAAATGCCCCTATGACCGGTGGTTTTTATTACTTTGTACTATTTTCTATCGTATTACCTTCGTAAAACCAAAAATCGCATGTCTCTATCCCTGTCACAACGTTTGCAATGATCGTTTGAACAAAGGCCTGCCACAAAATTATTCTCCGCTACAGGTAGAGGCAATTTTATTTTTAACTAAAATGCTTATTTTACTTCGAAATCTTTTGTTTTTATTTGAAATCTAACTTGTATTTATCAAAATTACAAATCTAGAGCCATTTTCAGTTTTGTTGTTAACAAAGCGTTGAATGGCGCGCCCGGAGAGGCTTAGTTCAAACGATCATTGCAAACGTTGTGATAGGGATAGAGACATGCGATTTTTGGTTTTACGAAGGTAATACGATAGAGAATAATACAAAGTAATAAAAACTACCGGCTATAGGGGCATTTTTTGGAGAAATTTATCAAATAACCAAAAAAACACGAATTTTTAAGCAGATTTTTTTCAAAAAGTATCAGTTTTTATTATTTGTTGGCCTTTTTTGTGTATTTTATGTATTTTTTTAGTATCACCTGTTATTTAGCATTATTACTGTTTTTATTTTATCAGGATATACCGCTTCGTTTAAAAGTTATTACGTTTTCTTTACAATAAGTAATTGAAAGAAAAAAAATTCTATAAAAAATTAAAAAAAAATCTCAAAAAAATTTTGACCTCTTTTTTGTCGATAAAAATAGGTCTAGTTTCATCTATTTTCATATGTACACTTTAACGTGACTCACACTGTATAATGAAATAATAAAAAAAAGGGTCAAAGGTCTATACATTGACAGTTTCTGATTTCTTGATTCAGTGATTATTTTTAAAGGAATATTGCGCCAAAGAATAATGTTCGTTACTTAAAACCGTGTTGTTGCTTAATTTTGTGTCTGATTATAGTCCAGTCAATGAATGCCTTAACGACGGTGTAGAGAGAAATCCGTGGAACACAATTTCTGACCTCGGGACTTTATTTAGCCTAGTTAGGTGGTGAACATAGCAAAAGTCCCCGCCCTTAGCCCTTGAGCCGGCGGGGAGAGGGGGGTTTAAAGGTACCACTTTTCGGTTTTTCGCTTAATCCTCGGACACTATGCGTCCTAGTGACATGACTACTATGAACCAAAAAAAGCTTATTCAATTTGCTACAGGTGAGACCGTCAAGTTTTTCTATATCTTGTATAGTTTTTGCGGCATCTGCTCTAGAAGGTCTGTAAAATTGGAAATTTTATTGTTGTCTTACATGTTCCTTTCAGGAGAAAATCGACTAAATCAACATTGAGCAAACACTATAGACATGCGGGAGCATGTTAAGCCTAGTTCCATGGAGGGGACTGCACCGTGCGTATATTTAGACGAACCAATTAGAGCTACTTTTGACTCCTCATCATTCAAAAACTACTGTGCATTAACACTTCAAATTTGGCTCATGTATTGAGACTTGCAAGATATACATCAGCTTCAAATTTCATAAATATACCTCAAACGGTTATTTAGGTATTGACGTTCAAAAATCGATATTTAGAGCACTACTATCTATCTATCACATGTGAAATGTTAAAATTTACTGGTTTTTTATTTGTTCCTTTGTATTTACATAACTACCTTTCTGGATGCCAAATTTGAACCTTCGAGGTCATCTGGAAGTGGTTAGAATTTGGTCTATAGGTCAGACATGTAGATTTTTGGACGTCAATATCTAAAGAACCGTTTGAGGCATATTTATGAAATTTGAAACTGATGTATATCTTGCAAGTCTCAACACATGAGCCAAATTTGAAGTGTTAATGCACAGTAGTTTTTGAGTGATGAGGAGTCAAAAGTGGCTCAAAGTGATTCGTCTAAATATACGCACGGTGTAGTCCCCTAGCTGGAACTAGGCTTAACATGCTCCCGCATGTCTAGAATGATTGCCCAATGTTGATTTAGTCGGTTTTCTCCTGATGGGAACATGTAAGACAAAAATGAAATTTCCAATATTACAGACCTTCTAGAGCAGATGCCGCGAAAACTATACAATTTATAGAAAAACTTGACTATCTCATCTGTAGCAAATTGAATATGCTTTTTTTGGTTCATAGTAGTCATGTCACTAGGACGCATAGTTTCCGAGGATTAAGCGAAAAACCGAAAAGTGGCACCTTTAAACCCCCCTCTCCCCGCCGGCTCAAGGGCTAAGGGCGGGGACTTTTGCTATGTTCACCTCCTAACTAGTCTAAATAAAGTCCTGAAGTCAGAAATTGTGTTCTACAGTTTTCCATCTATAATGCTTTATTGACTGGACTATTATGGCTGAATTTGTTTGGAAAAAAATATATTTTTATTTTTAACTACATTGTTTAGCTATCAAGAATTTATATTTAATAGTCAATGTTCGTATTGTGATATTGTCATCTCCACCTTGTGTACATTTTTTCAAAATTTTTGATGCGCGAGGCCCCTTGTACCGCGAGGCCGTAGGCGGTGGCCCACGTCGCCTACGCCTTACGCCGCCTCTGCTGCAGCCGTGGTCACAAGCAGACTGGCGGCTTGAGGCATTAATAAACGTCGCGTTAAGACCCATGTCTTACTATTTTAGTTTAAATGGAACGCGATATTTTAAAATCTTATATCCTGGCCATAGCTAGATTAAATTAAACTTCGGAGGTAAAGGCTAGTTAGTCTGACAGGTATAAAAAAAATCTAAACTCGAATGAGATCACGTTAAACAGATTTCTACTGTCCACGTCCGTATTCCGTCTAGTTCCATTAGAACAGTTGTACTGATAGGACTATAAAATAATTATTTTCTGTATTATATCAGCAAAACTAATATGAAAATGTCTGCGCTTAGACTTTAGCTATTTTGTAAACACTAGTGATAACAATTGAAACAAATTAAACTGTCATTAATTCACTTTTAAATCATTGTCTTTTTAAAATTGCTAAAGTCTGTATTAACTATAAAAATAACTTTGTTATATTATGTATTTATAAACGCAAACGGGTATTATGTATGCCTCTTCGGCAGATCTTTTATAAAGTAATCATTATATTGTTATATTATATACCAATATAAAGCTCATGCTAACTTTGTGTTAATGCATTTCAATATGTTACTCTGAACTCTTTGAAAGTGTAATACTTGTATTTAATAAGATTTTGTGGCAGGGTTAGTTGGTACTCTGTAAATAATTAAATCACTATAGAATCAGGGCTTACAAAACTACACTCGCTCTCTCGTGCTAAAGAAAGAGAGAATTAAACAGTAGGTATACATAGAAAATTAGTTTCCTATACCTATTGAAAATTAGGAGATCCTTTCCTGTATATTTACTTATTTACTTTTAAATAGTTTAAAATTACGAGCAAATCAAGTTACACGTAGAATATTTATCTGCTAGATATACAATAGAGGTATAATGATACCATCTGGAAAGAAATAGACAATAATAAAGGCGTGTCCTCATCTCAATACATCACAGAAAACAGTAAGGCTTGTTCACAATGAATATAATGTTAGTGAAAAGACTGAGAAATTACGTGAACGAAAAACTTATCGAGAAAACCGGCGGTGACACATGCAAATATTATTATTCAATCACATAGACTTATTTAATTATATAGTTATAACTTACCATGTTGTATATTTAAATAAAAATTTAAATTATTTTGTATTGTTTTATTTAACAGTGTTCCATAATATATTATATTTAATGTATATTAAAATAAATTAACATAAATATTCAAAAATTATAATTAAATAAATAGTGCATTTGGCGATCAGTACAAATTTACTAAATTGTTTTAAAATAAACATTAATCTCCGTTTAACTCAAGTTTTGGGCGCTTTTTTTTGGACTATTTGGTAAAGTAGAAAATACGATGAGAACTATAGCATCACTCGAAAAGGTTAAGCTTTTAGAAACAACTCGACATTATACCTGCTTAGCTCGGATTACTAATGTTTGGCCAAAAAACGTTTCCCAAATTATCACATCGCAAACAACGTTTCGCAAATTTTCATTTGGCAAAACATCTTATTGCAAACTTTTAATTCGCAAATATCGTTTTTGGCATATTATTATTTAGCAAATTATTGTTTGGCAAAGTATGTTTTGCCAAATGTTTCATTTGGCAAAAAGATTTCACGATAAACTAATTTGATTGGTGCATAGATTGGAATACAAATTAGCTTGTGGTTATTATTTTGTTTAGTGGGTAGTTAATATAAAATTTGTTCTAAATTAATTTTCATATTTCATTATTTTTATCGATTTCCAAATGATTCATTAACAATAGAGGTGATTCTAGCGCTCGGCGGCCGTTAAGGGTAACTGTTCTAACCTAACCTAACCTACTATTTTCTGCAATACCTACTTTCTGTAACCATACTATTTTCTCGCTATCTCTTTGTTTTACATACAATTCTTGTGAAAACCATGATCAAATAGGCTTTGATTTGTGGGTAACGGTGGGTAAGTATGTAAAGTGTCAAATTGACCAAACAAATTATTTGGGATATAATATTTGGCAAAATAAAACATTTGCTATTTAAACATTTGCCAAGTAAAATTTTCCCAAATGATAATTTGACCAAATGAATTACTTGCGAAAAGTACGGTTGCTAAAAGTTCATTTGGGAAATGAAACTTTGGCGATAAGTTGTTTGCGAAGTGAAATTTGGCCAAACGGAAGGATACCGCTTAGCTCACGTAGCTGACGCATTTTCCCAGTGTTTGCAAAGCTTGCAGTCTACACACAGATAGTTATGGAGCCTATGGAAAACTTCATTAGCTAAGTAAGGGCTTGTTCCCACGGAGATATCCCGTTTAGAAGTATCCGTGTTTTAATAATAAAGGTTACAGGAACATCGTGTTTATAATGTCCCAAAAAACCGATCAGTTCAAATTTAACACTATGAGATTTGACATGTCATTGTGTGTTCACGTAACAGTCCAGTTTTGTAGAATTCTGCTTTACTGGGGTCCCGTAAAACTGGATTGCGGTGAGAACAGGCCCTAAGCTCTGCAACCCGTATTAAGCGTCCTTGTTATCCTTGTTTTCCTGAGAGCAGCAAGAATCGGTCTTCTCATCAGCAGCCTCCATTTCCTTATTATCTTTATTGTCCATCATCTGTGAGCAACAAGACGCGGACCTCGGGTCATTGGACTTCAAAGGTTTCAGGTCCGGTGCTGGTTTGGTCTTGGATGCCTTCTTAAAGCTTAATGCGCTGAGAGCCCGGTCCAGCATTGACATCCTTTGGAGAAACCACACTGGTGTTATTTATTTTTATTTATTCATATAAATAATGTTTTTGGGTGCGTAAAAAAACAGCGATAGCGCGCCATTGTCGACATGTCGCGACGACAAGCTAATAAATTAAGGTGTGCTGTCGCTTAATTTAACATGGTGACACTTAGTAGTCATCACGACTTTTGAGATAGTTCAAAAAGAACAGGACATGTTTGGACTAAACCAACTTAAAAAAAAATGAAACAAATCAGTCCCAAAAAAAATAAGCAAACACATATAACATGCCAAGCTGTACTGTTTCTGATAAAAAAATCCACCTATGCGAAAGTATACGCCCATCTAAAAGCATCTAATTTTTTTCTATTACTACCCCACATTCTAATAAACAAGTTTACCTTTCGCAAGGAGTCCCCTGCACGAGTGACGTCACCGGGGCAGTGAGGACTCTGAAGTTGACCTGGCTGAAGTTCATGGAATCGTAGAGGAATCGCGACTGCCTGTCGCTCAGAATCCACAGGTTTCCTTCTTGGTCCACCTGGTGGCGAAGCAAATTGTGTTGCGTAGCGGTGTTTTCACTTAGGTTTTTTGGACAATCTTAGAAGCTCACGCTCGCTGTTAACTGCTAGAACCTATGTTACTCCCAAACTAATAGCAAAAAAGTATCTTTTTGATACAAGCTAAAACTCTAGTTTTAAAAAATCTTTACTTACGAGGGCGGCACTGAAAATTTCGGGAATCAAGGAAGTGAAACAACATTACTATTTAAAAATGTATTTATTGCTTTTTAAAGTATTCTCCGCGAAATTTGACACATTTTTCCATACACGAAACCAATCATTGAAGCAACCATTGCATTCGGAAGTTTGGGTCTCCAAAATGGCCGTTTTGTAGGCTTCCACAGCTTCTTCAGGTGATGAAAATCTCTGACCACGCAATTTATTCTTTATTTAAGGGAAAGTATAGAAATCATTAGGGCTTAGGTCGAGGCTGTACGGCGGATGGACTAATAATTCTATGTTTTCTTGCTCTAAAAACTCCTTTGTTCAGTGCGCGGTGTGAGAACTCGCATTGTCGTGATGGAGGATGATGCGGCGGTTGCAGTTCTCTTTACGGAGTTCAGAAACGACCTGTGGCAAACAAATGCTAGCATACTAATCTGCATTAACCGTTCTTTGTCCCCCAAGAGGAATAGTCGCAACATGGCCGGTTTTGGAGACAAACGTGGCCACCATTTTTTTTGCAACACTCCGTGAACGAACAATTTTTGTTGGCTTTAATTCATTTTCGAACACCCAAACTCGTGACTGGTTTTTTGTTTCGGGTTCGTACGCGTATATCCATGATTCGTCACCTGATACGATGTTGTATACAGCATTTGAGGATCCTGCATGTAATCTCCCGAGAGTTCTGACGCACCAAGTAACGCGAGCTGCTTTTTGCTCTTCACAGAGCGAATGCGGTATCCATCGGGAAAACAACTTTTTTACACCTAATTGTTCATGCAAGATTATTTGTATTTGACTCATGCCAATGTCTAAAGTTGCCTGAATTTCGCGGTATATCACATGTCGATCTTCTTCAATCAGCTTACGCACAGCATCAACGTTTTCTTAGGTGACTGCAGTTTTTGGACGACCTTGACGGGGATCATCACTGAGCTTGACACGTCCACGTTGAAATTCAGGAAACTAGCGATAAATTGTGGTTTTGGATGGGGCTTCATTACCAAATGCAGAAATCATCCGGTCAACACACTGTTTTTGTGTTAAACCACTTCAAAAGTCATAATAAATCATCGCTCTTGAATTTTCTCGAGTCAATTCCATTTTCTCAACGACTAAACAAGTTTGACAAGACCTTGTGATACGACCGAGAATCTTTTTTTAAATAAATAAATGGTATACGATTTTTAAAACCCTGGACTTTGCAATTAAATAGATTTTAATATGACTGGAACAGTGGAAATATTCCATTCCCGATACTTTTAGTGCAGCCCTCGTAAGATTCAAAATTAAAATATAGGGTATTAAACATAGGATTTCGGAAAAAAACACATAGGATTTTTACACAACCAGTGCCACCTATTGGGAAGTAATAATAAGTCATTAATTAGGAAATAGGATATGTGTAGGTAACTCCTTACTATGAATAATAATTGATTGTATTTGTATTGTATTTTAGACAGAAAAGAGGCAAACCTTGACATCGTTCGGGAATTCCAGCATGTTGCAATCCTTCATGAGAATCAGGGTGTTCTCTGGAATAAACGGCCTGTCGACGTTCCAACACCCTATTGCGTTCTTGCACAGCTGGGGAGTTGTGAAGTTGAAATTTTTATTCGTGAAAACATTTACTTGGACAAATGTGTTACATGCAAAATCGAAATCAAAAATATTTTATAAAATTTTAACCAATATTTTGGCACTTATGAATTCGTTACATGAAAGGGAGATGTCGGTCGGTATGTAAATATATTTTTTTTTTTATTAAAAATTAATGTTCATTTACTTACCTGCGTGTAAAATAGGATATTATTTTTTTGGTCGAAATCGCACGCGGAAGCTTGAGACATGGGGCCTCTGTCTCCTATGATCTGTAAATTACAAATACTTGTAATTTTGGATTTTTGAACAACAAGTAAGTCCAAAAGCAACTTATTTTACATACCTCAACCCCGTTGAAGACATCCTCTCTCGGAGCATCCTTGTGTCTTAACAATTTGGTGGACATTTTAAATTGTTTTGTACTAGAAGTAGGGTGCAGGTAGAGATCTCGGTAGCTACAACAAAAAATATATTTATCTTTTGCAGTACCCTACGATATAATTTATTGGTCATTCAGAAAACCCCGCGTGTGGGTCGAAGTGAAAATACTGGTTCCAACGCGTATTTGATGAGTGCTACTGACAACGCCACTCTTGTGGCGGAGTTTTGGGCTGACACTGTGTAGGTTTGTTGTCGACACGAAAAGAAGAAGAACGCGCCACGCTTCGTTGGCTTTCAAGCTGTATAGATCGTTTCATCCACGAAGAAGCGCTCCACCAATTTCTGGTCTCGGTCGCGCGGGGTGCGGAGAGTTTGATCCGAGCAATCCGAGCGTCATTATTGTAGTGTGCGTGTGCACTCATGGATAATTTCGCGTGTATTGATAACAGTCAAACATTAGCGGAGGAATGGAGGGCGTCTTCGTGGATGAAACGATTTTTGATTAGATTGGAACCAATATTGGTGTGTTATAATACTTACCCATCGCTCTTAAAGATGAACTACACTGAACTGTCTTTTATTTGACACTGACAGGGGGGCCACCGTCAATAGCGGATCGCTAGTTCCGACTTTTGCCACGGTGGAAACCATATAGTTGCACGAAGATGGTGGCGCCCTTCTGTCAATGTCGTCGGTGGGACATTTCAGTGTAGTTCATCTATAGTGTGGGACAAAGCAACTGAAGACACTCCATCGCTCCAGTAGAAGTCCCCCCGCCTCACTCAAAGCGCCACGCTTCGTAGACATTCAAGCCGTACACCGTGATGGCTTTTGGGCCTATATTGATGATGTTCGTGGGCCTTTAAGCCGTTATTACACTATAATAGCGTTGGAGCCATATTGGTGGTCATAAGACTTACCCATCGCTCTTAGTGTGGGACAAAGCAGCTGAAGACACTCCATCGCTCCAGTAGAAGTCGACCCCTCCCACTTTGTACACCCCCGCGTGCGGGTCGAAATGGAAGTAGTGGTTTTCGACGCGCCACGCTTCATGTGCCTTCAAACCGTACACTATGAGGGCGTTTGAGCCCATGTCGGTTATGTAAGCGTACGCGTCATCGCAATGCTTGCCTGGGATATCCACAACCTGAGTGTCGTAAGTAAAAACTTTATAGCGAAAATGTGTATTACCAGTAATCCCAGTTCTGGGAAAAAAGTACCGGTTGTCCCATCACGGGACGACTCTTAGAGCCTACTTAGAATACACATGCGAAAATTGGATTTACAATATTGGGAGTGATTCTTCTGTCTTCTAAGATAGACATTTTCCGTTATGGGTAACACCACAGAATAATAAAGTACAATCCGGCAGCACAGGGCCAGTCGTTATGGAAATCTTTGAGGGAGGCCTTTGTCCAGCAGTGGACGTACTTCGGTTGAAACGGTGCACTTACGATGCTGCTCAAAACTGAATCTTCTGTCTTCTAAGAGACATTTTCCGTCGTGGAAAGCACCTTGAATTCGGGGAGCGCAGGACTAATTAGTTGTGGAAATATTTGGGGGAGGCCTTTGTCCAGTAGTGGACGTCCTTCGGTTGAACTTGAAACGGTGCACTTACGATGCTGCTCAAAACTGAATCTTCTGTCTTCTAAGAGACATTTTCCGTCGTAGAAAACACCTGAATTCGGACAGCGCAGGACTACTTAGTTGTGGAAATCTTTGGGGAATGCCTTTTTCCAGCAGTGGACGTACTTCGGTTGAAATGGTGCACTTACGATGCTGCTCAAAACTGAAGAGTCCTTGAGCACGTCTGGGCCGAGGTCGTATCGGCGCAGCAGTGTGTCGGTCTTCAGGTCAAACACCAGCACCGCCGGGTCCGAGACCTGCCTGACGGCGTCTGGAAGTTGTTGGTTTATTTAGGCTTGATTTCCTTTTAGGCTGACATCGGTGAACGACGTCAGCGGCGCGCACGATAACACACTAAGTAGTTCTATGTAATCATCTGCCGCTGACGACGGCGTTGCAGTGCGGTGCTTCATAGAACATTGTGTTTATTCGTACGCTCGACCGATGTACGCGACCGACGTCAGCGTAGGAGGAAATCAAGCCTTAGGTACCTAAGGGCCCTCGCCCACGGCGACTTTTTGTAGCGATGCAGTCGCGCTGCTGTAGCGCGTTGGCAACACTTCTGTAGTGCGTTGAAAATGCGACTAACGCGCGTTAGTAGCGATGCTGTCGCGCGTTTCGTAAACCGCCTAAGTCGCCGTGGGCTATCAGAACTTGTGTTTCTTTAATGAAAAGACCGATAGTTAGCGAGATAAGCATTTATTATTCGGGTTCTTACACAGACACATCTTGTTCGTACATAGCCGGAAGAGGGAAGAGCGTTCTACCGGAAATAGTTAACTTTTTAATATTTAATACACTTCCAAAGATAATATAATCCTAACACTCCCTCTCAATTACAAGTTAGGCTTTAACTTTTAATTGCAAAACAAAATAATTTTTATCTACTAATAAAAACTTCTAATAACAATATTCCACTTATGTTCTAGTATGGCAACATTAAAAAAGAATTTGACATTTCAGAAACTGACATTAATGACAACTAGTGACACATGCAACTCACTTCACACTGTTCTATTAATGTAAACAAAACTTTAAATGAAATCACTACAAAACTAATAACTTCTCACGAAAATAACTGAACTTGATATTACACAGTGATTTAGTCAAAATATCTGACGTATTTTCGTTTGTACTTACATATTTGACACTTACAATATTATTACAAACTATGTCTTTCACGAAATGAAATTTAATGTCTATGTGCTTCGAATGTCGAGTGTTTTCACTGTTCATCACCATTTTAATCGCACTTTGATTGTCCACATATAACACTGCATCACTTTTGTCTTGAAAATCGATTGCAAGTCCCCTCACAAATAATAGCTCGCTCACAGTCATAGCGGCGGCGACATACTCTGCTTCCGCAGTTGAAAGGGCGACAGCTTGCTGTTTCCTGGATGACCATGATATAGGATTTCCTCTGTGATAAATGACCATGCCACTGACACTTTTTCTGTCAGATTTATTACTGGCCCAGTCTGCATCTGAAAAGGCGTGTTCTTGTAGTACCTCTATATCTGCGGCCTCTGCCTCGTCCTCGGCTTTTGCACTCGAAGGATTTATGCCCTTTTTTATGGCATGTATAGCATTTGATGACAAATGAAGATTGTGGTTCTGTGCTACTATATTCCCTCTTTATCTCATTGTCAAGCAATCTAGACTTTACGAAGTCGAGCCTTAGCTCTTGGTTTACCGTTTCCATTGCTGTTATTATTGCGTTGAATTCCTCTCCCAATCCAGTTAAGAGGTAGCTGATTTTTTCATTTTCTGCAATTTTCTCTCCTGACACTTCTAATTCTCTTATAAGATTGTCGAAATTGGCGAAATATTCTTCTAATTTTCCTGTATGTTTCAAAGTCAATAACTTTCTTCTTAGGCATATTTTTGATATGACCGTGTTTCGTTGGAATGTGTTTTTCAAAACTTCTAACATTTCTTTCGCGCTTGTGCTTTCTTTTATCAGGTTTAAGTGTTGGTCTGTCACGCTTTGGACGATGATACTTCTCGCTTTTGCATCCATGAGTTTCATCTTCTCATCACAGTCTACTATTTTCTTTATATCCAAAACTTCTGTTAGACCTTTTTCTGCGAGTATGCATTTTATCCTGAAAACCCAGTTGTCGTATGCCCCTGCACTCAATTGCGGTAGCGGCGTGTTACTACTTGACATCGCCATTTTTATATTTCACAAATCCGCTTTTTCCCGAATAATCTACAATTAAAACTTTCCCTAACTCTAACTAACGGGCGTCTGGGCCCATAACCTATCAGAACTTGTGTTTCTTTAATGAAAAGACCGATAGTTAGCGAGATAAGCATTTATTATTCGGGTTCTTACACAGACACATCTTGTTCGTACATAGCCGGAAGAGGGAAGAGCGTTCTACCGGAAATAGTTAACTTTTTAATATTTAATACACTTCCAAAGATAATATAATCCTAACATGGGCGAGGGCCCACGCCATCTTAGGCCATACCGAATAGGTATTTAATTTATGACGTCAACAAGAAAAACTGTTAGATTGGTCAACTGAACGATTTAAATGGCTGACCTAATTTGGTAGACTACGCTGAACAATATGACATCAAAAGTCCTATTGATTTATTAAACACCTATAAGTAGCTCAACAGCAACAGCTCAAATGAAGAAATATTTAGGTAAGTACTTCTCGTAACTCTTGGTGCTTACCTAATATGAGATTTAAGGCCCGGTTTTGGAATCGAAATGCCTACATAAATATTTACCTCTACCTTTAGGTAAGTCAAGCTCCATTCAGGCTGTAGTAAAGTTGAAGTTCATCAAACCAGAATTCTGGTTAATCTGTTACTCACTGGACATATCAGCGACTCCATTGTCTATGACCCACAAGCGGTCGCAGCGGTCGATGTGGACGCGGAAGGTGGACACGACTGTCGCGTTGGTGGACGGATGGCACGCGTCGTCGGTCACGAACGCGTCGCGCCACGTCGGATACGGGATCAGGGGCTCCTGTTGGCTGCCGTTCAGGTACACGTAGTTGAGGGAGGAAGGAACCCCTGGAAGAGGAGTTGCTCTTATCTCCTAAACTTTAGAGCAGGGGCGTCCAACATAATTTCTTGGAGGGCCAGGATTAGTATTTTTCTAAACGCGGGCCAAAAAATACCTAAAAGCGAAAGTATTAAAATGTGAATTATAATTTGTTAATGAATGTAAATGACAATTACAGTAATAATTTTGCATGCCTAAAGGTGGAAGATGGAGATACCTACTTGAAAAATTGTAACACCTACTGATGTAAACCCATTATCGCAAAATAAATGATTTGATTTGATTTGTATTGGTAAGCACTCTAGTAATAAAGAGATCCGCCACAGGCCGGTTGAGAAGTGCCTATGCGGTCTTAGAGCTCATTTTCGTTGGTTACCTTGGCCTGCATTGGAGTTGCGGCAAACTTCTGTAACGTAGGAACCGGTTTTCACCAAGGCAGAGCGGAGACGAGAAGTGGAAATAATGAAATCTGATTGGTTATTCAACACTTCTCTGCTTCGCTCCGCTTTGATGGAAACCAGGCCTAAACCCAGTATTTGTAGAACCATTTTTACTGGTCGATTTGGGATGATCGCGTTATGCGAGGGAACATCCCAGCGCACGATTTCTTTGCTAGCTGCTTTACGAGATTCTTTGATCTGACGTTCCTATACGCTGTATACCTACCTAAAATAATACAGTGTGAGTCACGCATGATAAAGTGCACATATGAAAATAGGTGAAACTAGACCTATTTTTATCGACAAAAAAGAGTTCTAGTTTCACCTATTTTCATATGTACACTTTATCGTGACTCACACTGTATAGGTACAGGAACAGCATGAGGGTGGGGACTTTCCGTAATTTGGACAAAGTAAGAGACCACAGATTATACATAGAGTAAAAAATGTATGAAGGTGGAGACTAGTCGCGTTGGTGGAGGGATGACACGCGTCGTCGGTCACGTCGGGTACAGCATCAGGGGCTCCTGCTGACTGAAGCTGGAGGAAGGAACCCCTGGAGGACGAGCTGCTAGAAGATAGTTGTTAAAAGAGGCGTTGATGATTGGAATCAACTCAACGCCATACTTAGGTAGAAGATACGGCTCATTATTTGGTTGTTCTAACCCCGACCACAGAGCACGTAATAATACCCCGACCGGGAGATTAAAGGGCCCGCATTCGGAAAACTTAAGTATTAGGAACAGGCCTAAAGTCTGATTCTTTAGAAATTTCCCTAAATGTAAACAAATATGGCCAACTCACCTCTTTTCCACCGAGGAACGGTAATGAATAATTTGTCCTTCCACCTCGCCAGCCCTGTAGGCATATTATTTTCAGGAATATACGCCCCCATGGCCAGAGCCGTATCCTTGAAGTCGCCCTCCCATGCGTAGTCGATTAGTTTCCATTGAAACTTTGGAGGTATAAGAGTGATCGCTTTTTGGATGAAACAAATTATAATCGCGATGAATAAAAACGGCTTCATTCTAATTTTAGGGAATGTTTTCACACTAAAATTTATAAAATATTTAGTTTTATGCTTTTATCTGAAACACTGCTATGACAATTTGAAATTTTGCGCCAATAAAACAAAAAAAAATCCTTGACAGAATCGAACCGTGCCAGTGCCGAGCATGACACCATCGATAATTCGTTTTTGTCGATAAGATTCATTGCTCTATGGTTCATGGCATGGATTTTAATAAAAATAATAGGAAACTATGAATTGGTATAAAATTTTAATTTTTCAATTTCTTGTTAATTTAATATCAAATCAAACAAATACTCAAATATAAATATTCTTTGTAAGTAATAAGGCCGTGTGTGTACCTACTGATAAAAGCGACATTAATTATTAATATTATTTTATCAATCTGTTTTCTGAAACTGGAAGAAGCATACATTCAATTTATTTCTTTCTATGGCAATTTTCAATTTATTTTTGAAGTTATGAAAAGGTGCATTCTTCCCACCCTGCGAACTTGTAGAAACTAAACATTTACATATTATTTTATAATAGAGATTATTTATTCGCGAAAGGAAAGTAAGAAAAACTGAAACACTTAATTTAAAAATAATTATTATTTTATTAAAGCATGCAAGAAAATCATTCGCTATAAACAGCCGTATTTCGAATACATTCAAGGGATCTTGGCAGTTGTAGCATTCTAAACATTTTTGCATTTTATTATTCTGCCTTTTTTAAGTTATCCCTTTTTCATTACGATACACTTTACCTATTATAGCCCGACCAGGAACATAAAAACCCTCGCCATGTTGCGGAAAACTAATGGTACTAATTTCTTTTAATGGCAACAGTAATTGAAAACTTCATTGACATGTCACCTTGCATGTCAGTCTTCTGCTGTCAAAGTGTAAACAAACTTTATTTTAAATGTGCGCAATTGATTTTGTGAATTAAATTGCTAAAATCTTTTTATAGTCGTGAAAGAAAAGTGGTTCACAATGTGTTAAAGTATTTGTCGAAGAGAAATATTAAGGGTTCGGACAATATTTTCATTGAATAATGTTTCCGACAAAGGTTGTCAAATTGACTGACATGTTTATCGTATAGTACAGTCCACTATGAAAATTAGCTGTGGTTTGTTTCAACTACCTATTTTAATTTTTTTTGTCACTTTCTAAGTGTAGAATTTTATGGAATTGGGAAAGAAGTACCGAGTTTGAAGCGTTCATGAGCAGACAGTGACATGACAGTTTAATATTCAAGTTCTGAATTTGATTATTGATGAATAATAATATAAATCCTACTAGCTCGATTGATGGTATCATTTAATTTATTTAAACCAGGTTACCTATAATATTATTTTTTCGTTAATTTATGAAACTATCAAATTAGCCCGCAATCCTGAATCCTGATACATAAAGTTAGCCTATTCATTTAACACAGGTACGACTGTACTCAGTGTTGCACTATCAAATGCAATTGACGCGCCTCTATGCCAGGGTTTTTATGTTCCTGGTCAGGCTATACTTAAAAAATTATACACTAGAAAAGCAAATTTACTTAAAAGTAAGTTTATTTGAATAAACATATAAATTTAAGGGTTTAATAATAGTGAAAAATACAAAATATTTATTAGAGGCTGTTAGTTCACGACTGTTTACTTTCTAGTAATACTTATGACGGGAACTTTTATCTAAAACTAGTCGTTCTTATTTGTTAATCAGACAATTTTTGTCAGTTCGTCTAGAATTTCTTGCATTTCTGCAACTTTATTCTTCAAGTATTTTACTTGTGATTGTAAACTTTTTATTCTTTTATTCTTCATCAGTAGACACTTCTTTAATTTATTGATTTTTCCTGGTGATTCCTCTAATAATTGTACTTTAATAGCTAAATTAGGTGGGTTAAAAGTATTCGATTGCGACGTTTGGAGTTTGAGATGCTCCACATTTTCGTGAGTTTGAAGTAGATCGGAATATTCAGATGTTTCAAAGTTTATTATTTTGTTTATAGACGTTTCGGATTCAGACTCTTCGCCTGGGTCAACCTGAAAAAAATCAAATTGCTTAAAGTGGGAATCGGACCTTAGGTCAGTTCAACATACACAAACAAAGTAACGGCAAAAAGTAATAATGGAATTCACCTTTGATAAATTCAAAGTTGGCACGGAACTCGGTTTCAATTTCCTCTTGTTATTAGTTTTAAAAATGAAACAGCTAGTATCAAAATGCATTGAGCAAATTGTGCTGCAACGAGTAGGAGTCCATGAGGCATGTTTTTGACAAGCCCACATCCAGATATTTCGAATAGTTGGATCTTTTGGAAATCTGTAAAATAAAATAGCGGAAACTTACTTAACTAGTCGATATCGATATTTCCTTTTTTGCGCTGTCGCAGCACTAACTTTACTGTAGGGTGGCAAGCGTATTGAAGTCAAAATTAACAATACTAAATTATTGTAATAGAGAAAGGCCGTAATTTAGCGATAGTAAAATAATTTGTAAAAATATTGAAATTAAGCTTGTTTAATAGTAGGTGTCTTATTATTAGACAAGATAAAGCCTCTACCTATCTTGTAGATAGGTCTCAACAAAAACACATCAACAATAAAATTAACAAAACTGTCTACAAAAAACATTGTTTAACTCGACTAGGTTGTATGTTCAACTTCAAAAAATTACAAAATTAGGAACTTGTGTGATTCAGTGGCAACACTTCTTGATATTTGTTTTTTACAAAATTTATGAAATATACACCGTGTTACTTTGCATTCTTGCCATATTCACAGAGATAAAAGTAGGGAACAATACCTATTATTTAAGATAAACAAGAGACTCCCATAAAGAAAGTACACTAAGATTTTAGTAAATTTGGTTTTTCAGTACAAATTGGAATAAACCAATTTTGTCTCGCACGTTCTACAGGTGCAAGTGGAATAAACCTAGTGGGCGTGGTCTTTTTCTTAATTTTATGGCTTTGGGTACCAGCCTTTTTATCCAGTCATAATAACTATTTTAAAATACTCTTCAGTTGATTTCAGATTTTCCTTTCTACTTTACGGGCTTAGGACCGTCAAAAATACGTAATAATTAATAGGGTTTCAATTAATTTACAACATTGTACCCTATTTTTACAAATTAATAAATTAAGTATGAAATGAAATCACCTTATTCACAATTAATTATTTATTCATAAGTTCCTACTTACAAAGTTTACGTACTGCGAAGCAAGTGTTCAAAGTGTCCTCCGTTCTGATGAAGGCACAGTCTAGCACGGCGAAGCGTAGGTTTTTCGCTTTAGTTTTCGCAACACATAAACGTTTTGTATCACAGTTTCACTAAAACAATCCTTTCATGTAACGCGTTTACACTGTTTATCTCTTCTGCGCATACCAGTCGTTTCAAGTCACTCCAAAAATCCATTGGTGTCAGGTCCGAGGATCGTGGTGGCCAAGCTACTGGACCCCTCGTCCAATCCACTGTTCACCAAACGTATTATTCGCGCACTTGACGTCCTTATTGTGGGGGAGCACCATCCTGCTGGTAGTAGAGCATTTGGTGTAACGCTAAGGGTACGTCATCAAGCATTTCGTCTAAGACGTCTTGCAGACACTCCAAGCACCATTTTGATTAAATTATTCGTTGTTTGAATACACTTCAGTCATTTTTGTATTATTTATAACGTAATTTGTGTTTGATGGATTTCTCAGTTTTTTACAAGTGTCAAAAAGACATTTTAAAGACAATAGATTGCAATAGATATTTAAAAATACAATAAAAAGTAAAAAAGTCTCCATCGCCATCGCCAACAAGTGATGTGCATGCGTTACGATAATTAGTGGTGTGTTTAACAGATTGTCGATAAAATAAAATACTCAAGATTAAAAAAAAATTTTTTCGGGCATTATTTTTTACGGATTTGTGTTCAGTATCAGTAATATAGTAACCTCTGTAAATATGGCAAGAATGCAAAGTAACACCCTGTATAAAATAATATTTATCTACCGATGGAAAGTAATGTTGTCCTTTTGTAGATTTGAAGTTGAAGACCTCTTTTTACAATTAATTACGCAGCAGGTAACCATTTTTTCTCAGTATGTTGCGGTTACATACTCTCTAATCTGTGTTGCACACCATTTCGACGTTTAGCGTGACATTTATTTATTATTTTATTAGTATTAATGTCATGGAACGCGTTTTGCAACCATAGTTTTATAAATTTTTTATGTCAGGTGGTCATGTTCTATTTGGCAGAAGGGATTGCATGTAGCATCCACTCTGTATTGGTTTAATTCTTTAAGGCCAAAAACCCTGATCCTCTGCACATAATTTGAATAAGTAAAATTAAATAAATGTTTAATTCATTCACAGTTATGGACAGAACGAAACGCAACATGAAAACTGTCAAGAATAAGGATGTGCCCAGTGCCGTTCGTTCGTTCGTTTCAGCCAAATGTGCCGTTCACAGTGCTTTAATTGAATAATTAATTGAGTATTGAAATCAGAAACAAATTATTCTTACGCTATTCTAACAAGATTTAAGTAAGTACCGAATCTGGTATCATTATATCAAAAATGATTTTGAAATACCACATTCATTATTCATGATCAAACAGTATTGGTTAAACCACAGAATAATAATAAGTACTACTACGTACAAAATCAGGGTTTTCTTCGCGAGAGTATTTAAAAAAATGTATGCTCAATGTTGTCAACAATAGGGTGTAATTTAGCTTGTCTCAAGAGTCGATCACAGGCAGTAAAATTAATTATCTTAACAATGCAAAATGGGTGAAGAATGCGCGTGCGTGCGTCCAAGCGTCAATGCTCGCTCGTGTCGTGCATGAGTGCCTTGTCGATTAAATATCCCCCCTAGACAAGTTGCACTTTTTTTTTATTCGAACTGAAATGAAATTGAATCCGTCAATACTTCATACTTAGATTACATACAAAAAAAGACCTTTCGACAATTTTTCGACTAGTTTTCGATTAAAATGTGCACTAACACTTTGTGTAGTAGACCCACAGGAGAGGTCGCCGTGCATGTTTTATTTTCATTAGGTCTAGTCAGAGAGCAGAAATAACAGGAGTAGCAGCGCGCTTTTATTTCCATACAAAAAAATTTCGCCATTTCCTGAGGGGGACGAGGTAATGACATTTGTGTAACAGCTGATGGCGCTGAGACACTCTCGATATTTTTGTCGATGAGAATCATTGCTCTATGGTTCATAGTCTATGGCTCGTTTAAAAAAATGATATGAATTAATTTATTATCCTATGGGAGATTCAACATTTCAGATCTCTATTTAAAGGAAAATACGCAAAAGTTTGGCATTTCTTCCCTAGCACGAATACGAATTGTGAAAGTTAAGAGTTATATGAAAAAAACTAAAAAGTCATTTATGGGTCATTCCATAAAAATCTGTATATTTTCGACGTCATTTTGTCCGTAACTTTTTTAAGATGCTTTTGAATACTTTATTAGTGTAAATTATAGTTTATTAATTAATTATGTTATGTCTAAAAGGGCCAGTCACTTTATGCTTTATTTTAGGAGAAATTATATTTTTCAATTTTTTCATAGTACATACTCCTATATGACTTCTAATAAATTATAAAACATATAACCTTAACATTTATAGATAAGTTAATATACATAATGTAGTTGTTTTGTTATTATCACTATATAAAAAACATCATTCCCTAACTAGTAATTTAGTCCCAAGTGCCGTTTAAAGCTAGGGCCTGACGCTCTAGGGACTGACGATTTGGAGTAAAACTTAACACAAATAAAAAACTAGAAAGTTTTACATTTTTAGATGCACTAAGTCATTACCTAAAAACTGATATTCCTTGGCTTTAAATCAACTAGTCTAGGTGCTAGCTACACAGGAGATGCAGCGGTGAAAAGGAGAGGTGGGAATAGTCCCGTAACTTCTACCTCACAGCTACGAGTATTATACGTGTACTCAACCACTGAGTTAGTTAACAATAGAGACAATAAAATAACTGAAAGCTTCTGACTTTCAGTAATTTTATTGGTTCTGGAATGAAGGCGTGGGTCATCCCTAGCTTTGTTCCTACCGTGACGAGTGGGATTTTTTCTAAAATCTCAAGATGGACTGACTGAAGATAGCAGGAAGACGCTGGGTGCCACTATCAACTGGGCGATGTGGAAATCATTAGAGGAGGCCTTTGTTCAGCAGTGGACGTCCAGTAGCTAAAATGATGATGACGATATTTCCTTACAGTATCCAATTCAATAGGCAGAAACTAAACGAAAACGAAGTGTCGCCTCTGTAATGGTATTATTATCTATAACTCATAATATTTCGTGGGCTGTTGGATGACAGTTTTAAACTAGAGATGGGTAATTTTTTTATCGAATAAGAAAATACCAGTTAACGATTCTCAAGGCGATTATCGATTACATTAGATTTTAATCAGGAAGAAAAATAATTAATGGCTTAAGCATCAGTATGAAGCCCATACGCGCTTGTAGCACATGTAACACGATTAGCCTCAGTCCCCTCAGTTGTGAATTCGGAATCGCCAGTTGTAATTTTTAAATCGCATCACAGAGTGAAGTAACTAACACCAAAAAACGAAGAGCGAAGTGATTTCGAATGTTTCAACTGCTACGTTTTGTCACTTGTCTAGGAGGGTTAATTTTAGTCTAAGGGAGGGTAGCTTAGATTACATTACAGGAAACGCACAATATAATAAAAGAAAATAATGTAAGTAGCTGAACCTTTTTGCTATTGAGCACCATGAAAATTTAACACAATTTAGCCGATTTCTTTATTTTCACAATCGATTCACGATTTCTATGATGAGGCGACCGCAGGAACGTCACTATTCGTGCAATCCTATCAATGAAGTACGACATTTTCTGGTGCAGATTTTATCGCCATAAATTATGAAACTTGATAGTCATGGATTTGACTGACAGCTGTCCGTCAAATTCCCGCCCCGCACCACGCACTGTACATATTTTGTTCGCGATGTCTGTTCTATACGTAGTAATATTACTTCAATGACACAATTAGGAATTTTTGCTTTCCAGTAGAAATTTAGTTTTTTGCAAATTTAGTGTATTAATTAATGTGAAATAAATAAAATAATATTTACCGATGGAATGTAATGTTGTCCTTTTCAAGATTTGATGTTTCAGATCTCTTCTTACAATAAAAAACACTGCAATTCACCATTTTTATCGCAGCACGTTACTCTTCAATAGTGACATTTGGATATGTCATTGGTGGCGCTGCAACTAGTTTTTATAAACTGAGTGAACCACTGGTCTACTTTAGAGATGGGTTATACTAGGTAAATTTGATACTAGGTGCACCTATTCCAAGTATTTATTAATACGTGATCCAAATACCTGTTCCACTTAGTACGTAGTAATTTACCATACTTGACGCGACTAGTGCGGACTAATCCACGTATTATGACTTAAAAATACAATTTTCTTTGAAAAGATCCACTCGTAGTATTAATAATGCAATTTGAAATTGAATAATAATGTTTTTGCTGGTTGTTGATTGATTGATATCCTCCCTTCATACTTCAACAAGCTTAGGACTGTCAACTTAAAAGTCGGCGTATTTAAAAGATATCAATTTCATAAAAATATTTACATAACTTTTTCTATTTTTTATTTATGCAATTATCACGGACGCGTGACAACAAACCAAAACAAACCTGTCGGAAGAATAAAAACTGGTTTTTTACCGGCTAGTCAACAAGAAGTAAGCTGGAAGCAAAACCTTACCTGTGTACAAATAAAG